AGGCATTAATAGGTGTGCATTATGCCTTTCTAAATGACTTTAGGCCTACCAAAACTCGATGAAATGACGATATGCATGCTATTTCTGGTTAAAAAAAATTTGCGTGCGTACTGACGTCCCCCCAAATATTATTTCCTAGATCCGCCACTGGTGGGACCCACTTGTATTTTGGACCCTACTTTGATTAGGGAGATGATTTACATGTGGTATACAAAATGTGGTCTCCCTACCTTTATTAGGGGGATGATTTAATTCTAAACCAACTGAAACAAGCTAAAAACCTAAGGGGGTGTTTGTTTTCCTTCACTAAAGTTCACTAGACTGGACCAGTCCCGTGTTTGTTCCCCATAGGTCTTAGAGTTAATGAGATTAGCTCTCACTCGTCTCGACTAAAACAAGGCCTAGCCAGTCTTAGCTAAGCCCCCCAAAAATCATGGGATTGCTAATCCCGTCTCCAAACTTGCGTAAGACGATCGCATGCAGCAAGTCTTGTGAACTGCAAATTTGCAAGAATGCTTTTGGGCAACTCCGTTTGCCAACCCATGTCCAGATTTGAAACCCAACACCACCCACTGCCTAAATCTCAACACCAAAATTGAAAAACATATATGCAAAACGATAACAACAACAATCCCAATAGCAAAATTCTTCCTTATTCCCGAAAATTCCCAGAAAATTTCCAAAATTTTTTCCTTTTCCCCAGAAAATTTCGAAAAGAATAGATAGAGAAGGGGAGAGAGTAGCTTTGGAACAAAGAGAAATGGAGAGACAAAGAGGGAGGGGAGAGTAGCACGGAGACGATTTGCAAGAAAAATGATTTGAAGGATGTGTTGCAGGAAAAAAGATGGAGAAAAGAAGTGATGGGGGACGAAACTAAAGAGGAAGAAAAGGGAAGAACTCTCCAGAGCGAGAGGTGGAGTGTCTACTTCAGAAATAAAAAAGAAAAAGCTTGATTTAGCAATAAAATATTATTAGATGTGTATTATATAATATAATATTATAGTTTATTAATTATCTTGTTTTTTAGTCTAACACTGCACCAAACGCATCACTAAATCAATCCAACTTAGTCTAGTCTAAGTTAGTCTAACTTAGTCCTTGAAGTTAGTCCAGTCCGAGATAGTCTGATACAACAAATGCATCCTAATGCGATGCTATAGTCAAATGGAACCATGACCTGTAAAATAGCATGCGGTTAAATAGGGGTTAGAAGATGAAAAAGGTTATCGAGTAGTTTATGTTTTTTTTTTTTTTTTTTTTTTTGAAAACAAGCGATATTATCTATATTGAGGAGGAGAATGTGAGTTTAGCTTCACAATAAGCTAACAATAATATGATTTAAATTTGCATTTAGCGAAAATCAAATACGATTAGTTCGCAGGAGGTGGAGAAGGTGAGCTTGTCTATGCGCTGCCAATCTGAGATGACAAAGGTTTAACGAAATGCTTTTAGCTTTCTAACAGATACTAGTTAAATGGACGACACTTTAGTTTACTGAAAGATCATTAATCATTGTCGGATTCCAAATTAACAAATAATATTGCGATCCTTTAACCACGATGTTGTGTTCATACTGTTAGTGATTTCTGTTGGTACGTAGTAAAAAGGTTGCAGCGTGTGCAAAGCATTTTTTTAATCTTAATTCAATCAATAATCAAGACACTGAGACTAGGATGATGACGATTTAATCGAAATGTTAGTGTTGAAGGCCTATTGATCTACTTGCCTGGTAGCTCCAAGACCAACATTGTGAGGAAATATTGTTGCATTGAAGATATTGTTGTGGCCATGAACATCATCAATACCATAAATTAATGGAATTCAGACCCGGGTCGATAAAGAACCCTTTTGAAAATCGTTCACCATGTTAATCCAAGTTTCTGCAGAAGCCTTTCGATCGTGCTGGAGACCGCCCACCCCCGCTTAATATACTCCCTGTCCAAAAAAAAAGTTTATTCTTCCCTTAATTCCAACTTATCTCCATACAGATGCAGATGTGGCACATTCCATTCTTTCTACATTTACATGTATATATATTTTCTTCACATACAAGATAAAAAGAATAGTGATGCTTACCCATGAAGTACTTGTTCATGTTCATCACCTCAGCCGAAGCAACCTCATGTTCGATCTGCAAAATTTGGCCAATCTTTTTCCTCAAAGTCATCCGGCTCATTAGGGTCTTTATATTTAGTGTATTATACTTGTGCTGTAGCCATGCAGAAGCCCCGTAAAGATGGGAATTCTAGCCATTTTATGTTCCAAAAGTATTTACAGAGAAGAATACCTAATGCCCAATTAGAAAGCCATTTTGTAAGGAAGAAAGTATAAAGTGCCCAATTAGAAAGTCATTTTATATGGAAGATTGCATGAAATGCCCAATTACAAAGCCATTTTATATGTAATGCCCAATTGGAAAGGCATTTTATGTCCCTCACAGATGTAGAATTTCGTACTCACATTCTCACACGTCCCTTTAGATGTGGCGAATTTTCAAGCATAACAAGTGGACAACACAAACGGTGTGATGTGGGGCATGTGTGGCTGTTGGATTTCACACTTGGACCAACCTACTCTGATATCATAAAAAATTAAGATTTCACTATAAAATCAAGTCAAAATAAAAGAACTCAGTAATCCGGCGTAATTATTTGACCAAATGAATTTTGTTAGCCCTTTTGCAAAAGTAAACGCAGAAAGATTGTGGTCTTTCTAACATTTTCCTTGTTTCAATTGTCTTTAAATCTTTTTTTTTTTTGTTTTTTTTATTGGGAAACCTCGAAGGTACGAGGGAAATTTTATTGATAACGAAAAAAGAAGTTACACCTAGTCAGAGGAGGGGGGACATAAATCTTACCCCTCATAAAACATAAATAACAAAACAATACATGAAAAAGAGGGGGGGGCATAAACTGTACCATTCTAGAAATGAAAACAAGAGAGATACAAAGAAAAGGGTGGGGGGGGGGGGGGGGCGGCCTCTGAAACCAAACCTAAAGGTCTAAACCTGCAAAACAAGTTGAGCAACACCACAAAGTTAAGGGGGGAAAAAAAGAAAGTAAGACAAACATGGATGCCAAGATGCGCATTAATTTGAGAAGCGGTAACCAGGCAAGCCAACATAGTTCGAAAACAATGCAACACAAGCCGCTGACGGAGGAGAACATGCCAAGTTAAAGTTGGAGAAGACAAGCCCATGTTGGCAAAATTGTTTGCAACAAAATTTCCCTCCCGATATATGTGAGATGAGTAGAAAGTCATTTTCTGAATACGGTCCAAATAAATAGATCATTGTGTACGAAGAGGCCATGGAGGATCAAAATCAGACGATTGAAGAGTATAAATAACACTAGAGCTATCACTTTCCAACCAAAGACAATGCCAACTCAGTTGATATGCAAACTCTACACCAATAATAATTGTAGATAATTCTGTAAAAAAAGAGTTGCAATAACCAATCCATTGGCAGAAACCACCAAGAAAATGACCATGGAAATTCCTGAAAACTCCTCCACAAGCAGCAGGACTGGGATTTCCTTTAGATAAACCATCCGTATTAAGTTCAATCCAAGGAAATCAAGGAGGAGACCAAAGGACAGGAAGAATAGTAGGCACCTTGCGAGAGATAGGTCGGATCCCCATTGAAGAGATGATTCGAGTGTCAAAATCCTGAGAGTAACTAGGAATAACCTTTCCACCATGAACAATTGTAGAATTGATAGATACACAGAGACGATAAAAACTGAGTGATCGGCCATAAAAAATAAACTTATTTTGAGCCTTCCAAATAGTTGCAATAGTAGAAAGACCCGCAAAAATTCAGAGATGGTGCAATTGTTGGGAAAAGGGCTTACGCACATAGATATCCCAAAAAACATCCAAAGAATCTGAAAGAGGCAAAGAGGTACCAAGATGACATGCTAACCACCTCCAAAGGTGCCTAGATATCTGACAACCGTAGAAAAGATGAGCAGTAGATTCTTCAGAATTATGACATAAACAACAAATGGATGCCAAAGAAATACCATGTCGTTGAAGCGCACCCTCGGTAGCAAGTTTGTCATGAAAAAGCCGCCAAGCCAAAACAGATAGCAGTGGCGGAATAAAATTTCGCCAAATAACCTTAGCCCAAGCACAGTCACTACGTTTCCTTCGAATAAGTTGATAACCAGAAGAAAATGAAAACTTCCCGGTAGGTGAGGGCTCCCAAAAATCAATTTAGCACCCTCGATATTTAAGGGCAAAGGTAGACGTAAAATTTGTTGCACCCAGAAGAGAATAAATTTATAAAATAATCTGGGAAAGACCAACTTTGTACTTCAATAACATCTGAAACCCGAGGAAGAACCTTAGGTGAAATGATCGAAAATAAAAAAGGGTTAATAATAGATTCATCCAACCATTTGTCAAACCAAAAGGAAACGGACCTCCCATCACCACTTTGATTTTAATTCATAAATCGCAACTAGAATACTAATTTTTCGGTTTCTGGTTATTACTTGATTAATATCTCCGATAGAGAGTGCAACCTAGGCTAGGTACATAATGTTATTTTCAGCATGCTGCTTAGGCAGATTATATTTGCATCAGATCTTGCAAATCAACCCATTGGGTTTTAAGAATTCAATTGGTTAATTTGCCAGCTCTAATTTTTAACGAAAACAAGGAATTGAAAAACCATTTCCAGTTAATGTCTTACACACTGTTGAATGTCATATTTCAGGATGTTTGAAGTACTCATCAGGCTCTTACTTTCGTACTGATGGTTAATAATAAAACACTTACAAACTGGTAAAGAATATGAAGAGTAGTATCCCTCGAGATATAACAAAATATTTTACAGTGTATATGCAGGAAGTTCACTAATATCACGAATGCCTTTCATGATAAAATCCCACACTTATCAAGTGGTAAGTTTAAGAATAATATCGGTAATTTTAGCGGTGGGTCGTGTTGCAGTCAAAGAGTTTATCAGGTTGGGTTTCTAGTAAAGCAGAAACTTAAGAAAGAAGTGATCGCATTACTTAGTTATAACAATACAACATTTTCCTAGCTGATAAACAGAATTCATTAAGTAAATAGTTAAAAATCAAAATCAAAATCAAAACAAAACAAAAAGACAATTGGAGGCTTGGAGTGAGATCAGATCACCGGCAGCAAGGTCGTGGCACAGCGAATTCAGATTTTCGAAACAAGAATAGTACTAGGGATGATCATATCTTTGAATGCTCAAACGAACAAGGAGTTTTGCCAGAACTTAGCAAAACAAATCCCAAAACTTTGCATCCTAAGCCGTAAGAACACAACCATGCATGTCATCTGCTACATAATTTAGCGACTAAACTTCGAGAAAAGTTTCGGCAACTCAAGTGTTATTTCTGGCAATAAAAAATCCTAAGTTGCTAATGATGTTGGGGATCTGGTCCTCCGGGTGCAGTTCTGTTCACGTCAACAAGAAACCTTCTCCGATAAAACTCATTTTTGGGTACATGAAACACAAGTTTACGAAAAAAGAGATGGCTATCAGTTTTATTTGGAAGAGTTGAGAAAACGAGAGAAAGACGCGCCTCTGAGCTCACTACAAGCATCGAAAAAATGACCAAGAATGGTAGCAACAAGCAGCTTGCCCTTAGAACACTAGGCATGCTGATCAGTGAAAGGTTTAAAATTGTATGACAACTACTATTAAAGCACAGAAAGGTAAGTAGCTTTGAGCATAACAAGTTTCCCCTTATAAATAGATATAGATTGAAGCACAGAGAAAAAGTAGGAGAATTTTTCTTAGAGTTGTTTGATTAGATTATTTAAAGCTCTCATGTATAATTGAATACTGCAAGAAATGGCTGTCTTGTCTGATATAAAGTTTTATAAATCCCACAGATTAGTCTTTCTCCTCTCACTGATTGTCAGCACTTCGTTTTTTCGTCACATCTACTCTTTCCCTTATCTCTTAGGTCATCATAAGAATGACCCTACAAAAATCACAAAGACATAACCCCTTCGGCTTTTCGCACGTCCGGATAGCCAAAAGCAAGTGGATCTTGCTGACACTGCATGTTAAGGATTATCGTTTGAGGAGGCGACGCGCCGATGCCCTTTCCCTGGCCTACGTAGTCTATGGCTTTTTTTTTTTTCCATCTAGAAAAAGGGAGACAACTGGTGACAAGTCACGGTTATCCATCATTTCTGAGCCCAGAGAAACTATGAGAAATTCCACCCTACCCGTGGTTACGTATTAACTATGCCAAGGTTGCCTCGCATATTGCTTATATTAGTGTACATATAGATTCTTAGGTCTTGCTTATGTATGTTATTTAGAGTTTTACACACATATCCAATGTGTCATGTGAACCTATATTCTATAATCCAATTGCATTAATATTTTTGTTCCTAGATGAATCTTTTCCTCTCTAATTGCTGTGTCTTTTTAATGAAGTTCTTTTTAACAAAAGTAAACAAACTAAAGATACAAAGAGCCAACTTCGTTTATAAAAAATAAAAACTAAACGTTCTTCAAATAGTTGTAGAACTATTAGGGGAATGGCAAACAAAATATAAAAGGATGACACAAGAAGGCAGAAAGGTCACATCATTTTAGGAGTTGAGATAATCACATTTTGTCTAGAAAGATGGATAATATAGCTTAGTTACCAACTTTGATATGATAGTCAAGGGACTCATGCATTCACCTAATTAAGTTCCCGTCCAATTTGGATATGGGTATTGGATAAGTACTAGAGCACCATGCATGAATAATACATTGAAACATCAATGGTTTCTTGTTTAATGCATGTTCTCCAATATTTTAGTGGATAGGATGTTGGGTTTTTATCTATGTGTCATGGATTCAAAATTTCTCCATCTTCTAAATTATAGTAATAATTTATATCCTCCCCATCCCTTAATAATAATAATCTTTTTAAATATAAGTTAATATTATTCCATCCATCTCATTCCATTTTTATGGAGATAGTCAAGGAGCTTATCTATTCATGTTTTAAGTTTTAAATTTAGTTACCCATTAAATGATTCCCATCAATGTCAATCTCTATTTCGGTTTTTCATCCTTGAAATGATTTTTACCAAGTTTTAGGCAATTTTGAAATATATATATATATATCATATAATATATTTATATATAATCTAAACTATCATGGACACACTTTCTTGGTTAGCTGACATAGTCTATACTTGCCAATCTACATATAAATTTATCATGTGACCATGTTTTTTTTATTACTAGCAATATTACTAATTTAAACTATACTAAGGGAAAAGAGATGGTTTGAACACCATACAAAGTGAGTTGATGGGAAGACTCTATCAACCAAGCCAATCCACCACTTATTAAGATTAAAAAAAGTCTGATTCATGTTGCACTTATAATTAGATGTGTAAGCCTAACTGTGTGCCATGTCGTCAAACTAACAAAAAAAAAATTAATGAAATTGGATGGTAGGATATTTGGATGTGAGCCCAATGGCTTGTTGTCACATCCCAGCCCGGGGTCCACCAGATCCCAGGCCCACTCCACCACCGTAGCACAATATTGTTCGCTTTGGGCCCCGACCACGCTCTTACGGTTTTGTTTCTGGGAACTCATACGAGAACTTCCCAGTGGGTCACCCATCATGGGAGTGCTCTCGGGCGCTACTCGCTTAACTTCGGAGTTCCCATGGAACCCGAAGCCAGTGAGTTCCCAAAAAGCCTCGTGCAAGGTAGAGATGAGAATATACATATAAGGCTTACATAATCCATTCCCCTGGGCGATGTGGGATGTTACAATCCACCCCCCTTAGGGGCTCGACGTCCTCGTCGGCACACATCCGGCCAGGGATTGGCTCTGATACCAAATTGTCACATCCCGACCTGGGGTCCACCACATCCCTGACCTACTTCACCACTGTAGCATGATATTGTCCACTTTGGGTCACGACCACGCCCTCGCAGTTTTTTTTCTGGGAACTCACACGAGAACTTCCCAGTGGGTCACCCATTATAGGAGTGCTCTTGCGCGCTACTCGCTTAACTTTGGAGTTCCCAAGGAACCCGAAGCCAGTGAGTTCCCAAAAGGCCTTGTGCAAGGTAGAGATAAGAATATACATATAAGGCTTACATGATCCACTCCCTTGGGCGATGTGGGATGTCACATCCCGGCCCGGGGTCCACCACATCCCGGGCCCACTCCACCACCGTAGCACGATATTGTCCGCTTTGGGGCCTGACCATGCCCTCATGGTTTTGTTTCTGGGAACTTACACGAGAACTTCCCAGTGGGTCATCCATCATGGGAGTGCTTTCGTGCGCTACTTGTTTAACTTTGGAGTTCCCATGGAACCCGAAACCAGTGAGTTCCCAAAAGGCCTCGTGCAAGGTAGAGATGAGAATATACATATAAGGCTTACATGATCCACTCTCCTGGGCGATGTGGAATGTTACAATCCACCCCCCTTAGGGACCCGACGTCCTCGTCGACACACATCCAGCCAGAGATTGGCTTTGATACCAAATTGTCACATCCCGGCTCGGGGCCCCCACCATATCCCGGGCTCGACTCCATCGTAGCACGATATTGTCCGCTTTGGGCCCCTACCACACCCTCACGGTTTTGTTTCTAGGAACTTACATGAGAACTTCCCAGTGGGTCACCCATCATGGGCATGCTCTCCCGTGCTACTCGCTTAACTTTGGAGTTCCGATGGAACCTGAAGCAGTGAGCTCCTGAAAGGCCTCGTGCTATGTAGAGATGGGAATATACATATAAGGCTTACATGATCCACTTTCCTGAGCGATGTGGGATGTTACACTTGTCACTTCATCAAATGAACAAGAAAAATTAACAGAATTGGATAGTATCGATAGCATTGATGTGCAATAGTAAGTTCAAGGATTACATTAATCCGCTTCAACTTCAGAACCAAAATAATGATTTACATAAATTTCAGAGATGATTTGTGATTAAAAACCCACAGAATAGGTATATAATCACCTTGCTATGTTGACAAGGCACTCGTGTTAATTACTTGTCACGATTGATGGTAGCTTAATTAATTAATCACTTTTCAAGATTGATTAATTGATGAGTCCAATAATGACCCCCTTTTGTAAACAATAGATTAATCCTATCCGTAGCACTAGCCGCACGACTAATTAAATTCTGAATGGTCTAGGGGCTTGCTTATGATTGATGGATGAACTATATATCTATATAATAGTTGGTTATATATAGGTACATCATCCGTACAATTTCATATAACAGCCATTTCATATTAATTTTCCTCCTTCTTTTTTTAACTTTTATCTACCCTATGAATGGATATTCATGTTAGGATTAGATTCCACAAGTTTCAATATTTTAATTTGGAGAAAGAATTCATTAAGTGGCTAAAGCTAAAAGTTTGTGCATCTCATGCAAATAAGAAATGACTCAACTTAGTGTTGATGGATACAAGTTTCAGGTACCAAATTTAGTGGTCACAAAACGTTTGAAAGTAGGAATCACTATTCGGTCAACATCCATTCTGTCGACAGAAGTAACGAGACTTGTTGAATCATAATATGAAACAAAATCAAGGGTAGAAAACCTCTCTATTCAAGTCACCTTGCAAGAAGGGAAATGCTAGAAAGATTAAATTTATAGATAAAATTTTAGAAACTAAAGAATATGGAAATTGATGATTGGTTTATTACTTAAGCGTTAATAAACGTACTCATTTTTATTGGTGACACATCATTTAGTTTACAAATTTTGTCTCCAAATTTAGTGTCCCTGATATTACCTTTGCAAGAATATTTCCCAATGACACGTTAGGAGGCAGATTCTCTAACCTCCCACTTCCCGTGCCCTCCCGTGCCCTCTTGTTTGTGTGGTCACAGTTAAACCACGTCAACATTTTATATTACTATTCATTTTTGTCTTATTATCTTTATAAAAAAACAATATAAAATATTGACGTGGCTTAACCGTGACCACACAAAACAGGAGGGCATAGAAAGTGGGAGGGCAGAGAATCTGCCTCCGACTCGTTAATGATGCTCGCCGTCAGGTCCACCCGGGCTGACTCGCTTAGACTCCGGTAATCGACTTCCAGCAGCTGCAGCTTGTCTTGCAATGCTAGCCTTCAAGACCTGTTTGGCATCCTTCATCAATGCCCGCTCTGTGGTAATCTTGTTTAATAATGGAAGAGGTGGAGAACGAGACTCAGAGTTGGAAAATGTAAGCAACACCAGGAAAAGGCAGGAGGAGAATTTGAGGCTAGCACTAGCAACCATTGTGGAGGCAATGTGTCTTCAAAATTGCTCAATCTGTAGAGAGTTGAGATCCTATGAGCCGGGAATGATTGAACATATAGATTTCTTTATATATAGGCCTCCAATATTACCTTCACATTATAATAATGTGTTCAAGGACTGATAAATGAGACAAAACCTAGTCCATGCATTCCACTAGCTACCAAGGAAAAGCAAAATCATTCACAGTTTTGCTTGCTGGCATCCATTGCACGCCTGAAATTTTGTTCGATGTGCTAATTGTCTCCATTATGTCTTTAATAATCTAAACAAATGTGATTAGATGTGGAGGATTAGTATAACAACAATCACTCCTTATCCCATTAGGTCGGGTTAGCTGTATGAATCCTGGAACGCCACCGTACACGATTTTGCGCTAAGTCTACAAATTGATTTTCTAGTATGCTTTATGTAATTAGGTTATAAAAATTATTTTCTAGAGATATGTTCTTGACACTCTAAATAATTACTTTTAACTCGGTTTGTGTACAAGTATGAGGATTCACTGGAAAGAATGTAAGATGAA